AAAAAAATCAATTTTCTTTAAACAGTACATGCTGGCTGACTGGTTTAGAGAGCCTGAGTCCCAATTGGTCATTTCAAACCTGTGGAGCCACCTCATAGAGGTGCCACTCCTTCCCTCGCCCTCCTCCCCTACCTCCCTCCTCCTCCAATTCCCTTATCCCATTTTTCATTATCATTGATATTATTAATCATAGTTCATGTTATGGCATATAATGTTTATATTAATTGAGGTTATTAGGTTTCTGTACGTGGCATATCATTATTCTACTCATTTTTCCCTTCCCCCTCTCCTCCTTGCCCTTCTTCCCTTGAACTACTTCCTTATAGCAAGAGATCAAACCCTTTGTCCCCTTCTATCCATCCTTTATTATTCTCTTTGTATTTTGCTTCACTCAAATGAGAGATACCATTTAAGCTTGTGTGTCTAGTTTATTTCACTCAATATTATATATTTTCCAAATGCATCCATTTTCCTACAGATTTCTCAAATTTGTCATTCTTTATAGCCAAGTAGTGTTCCTTTCTATATAGATATCACATTTTCTTTGGATACACAGACTGCTTCCAGGATTTAGCTGTTATGAATTGTGCTGCTATAAATACTGGTATGCATGTATCACTGTAATATGATGTCTTAAACTCTCTGGGGAAGATACATAGCAGTATAACAGGGTCATGTGGAATTTCTAATTTCAGTTCTTTGAGAAAACTTCATATGACTTCCATAATGCTTGTACTAGTTCACATTCCCTTCAACAATGAAGGAGAGTTCTTTTTTCGCCATAACTTTTTAGTATAGCTTGAAGTCAGGGATTGTCATGCTTCCTGCTTTGCTCTTCGTGTCCAAAATTTATTTTGCTCTTCTAGTTATCTTCTGGCTCCATATGAATTGTAGGATTGTTTTCTCCAGCTCTGTAAAGTATGCTTTTCATCAATAGGGTTGATATTTTGATTGGTACTGAATTAAATCTGAATAATAGTTTTGTAAGTATGGCTATTTGACAATATTGGTTTTGCAGGAGAAGGGGACATCTTTCCATTTTCTGAAATCTTCAGCCTTCTTCTTTCCCTCCTCCTCCTCCTCTGTACTGTAGTTTTCTTTGTAGAGGTCTTTCACTTCTTTGATTAGGTTAATTCCTAGGTATTTCATTTTTCTTGAAGATATAGTGAATGGTATTGTTTTCATAATCTCATTCAGTTCAGTATTGATGCACACAAATGTTATGATTTTTGGATGTTGATCTTATATCTTGCTACATTGCTGAAGTTGGTTATTAATTCTAAGTTTTTTTGGTGGAGTCCTTTGGATATTCAATGTAGAGTATCATATCATATGCAAGTAATGATCATTTCAGTTCTTTCTTCCCTCTATGTATCCCTTTTATTTCTTTCTCTTGCTTAATTGCTCCAGCTAATGTTTCACGTACTATGTTAAATAGAAGAGGTGATAAGGATGTCCGTATCTTGTCCCTGATTTCAGGTGAAATGCGTTTCATTTTTCCCCATTTAGTGTCACAAGCCGGCGACGCAGAGCACTGTCCAGCATTGCCTCAAACCTGAAAGAGCAGCGGGGTGGAGATGGGGCAGAGAGAAAGGAAGGACGCCAAGACAAGAGTCTGATCAAGGCGACGTTTATTGCCGGCAAGCACCGGCCTTTTAAAGCAAAAAAACCACAAACTATTATGGGATGGGTTTACCATAGTAACTGAAAGGTCACACAGGAAAAGAGCAAACAGGTTCACCAACCAGACAACCACACATCTAAAGGTCAGAGACAAGAAACTGTAACTTTCAGGAATTCCACAAAGGAAACGCACCACCTGCTAAACTGGAGAAACTTAACACGTATAGAGTTACTAAAGTTAACAATACTTACAACCAATACTCATGATCCCCACAATTTAGTATGATGCTAGTTATTGGTTTGTAATAAATAGCTTTTATCATATTCAGGTATGGTCCTTCTGTACCTGTGTTATTCAGGATTTTTATCATGAAGGAGTGTTGAATTTTGTCAAAAGCCTTTTCTGCATCTATTGGTATGATCTAATGGCCTTTGAACTTGCTCTTGTTTATGTGATATATTACGTCTATTGACTCATGTATGTTTAACCATGCTTCCATCCCTGGGATAAAACTTACTAGATCTTGATGTATCATCTTTTTGATAATGTGCTGCATTCTCTTTGCTAATATCTTGTTTAGGATTTTTGCATCTATGTTCATTAAGAAGATTGGCCTATAGTTTTCTTTTTTAGCTGGGTCTTTATCTGGTTTGGGGATCAGGGTGATACTGGCTTCCTTAAATGAATTTGGGAACACTCCATCCCTTTCAATTTCTTTGAAGAGTTTGAGCCATATTGGGGATACAATATACTTAAAACTTTTATAAAATTCAGCAGTGAATCCATTAGGTCCTGGGCATTTTTTAGATGATATATTTTTTATTATTGTATCAATTTTGCTTGTTATTGTGTTGTTAGGCATATTTATGTCTTCTTGGATTAATTTTGATAATTTGTATGTGTCTAGGAATCTGTTTCTTCAAAATTTGCTGATTTTTTGTAATGTAATGTTTTTGAGGTAGTCACCATCTTCTGTATTTCGACAGTATCTATTGTGATTTCACCTTTCTCATTTCTAATTGCATTGATGTGAGTCTTTTTTCTCTCCAGCACTAATACAAAGCATGATGAGGTGGCTCTTTTAGCAGCAGCAGTTTCAGATCCAGAAAAAGGTGACATGAATTTCATATGGCTAAATCAGTGATAAAAACATCATTTTCTTCTTCTTTCAAGGAGGCAGGAGAGATCTTTTGAATGTCCCTATTAACCCTAATGATTTTTTAAAACATAGTCATCCATCCAGTCATTCCTTAGTTCAAGTGTCCAGAGTGCTAGGTGCAGCAACCTTTTAATTATGGGCTTTTGGATCAAAGCCAATGTAGGTTTGATTTGTTCTTTGTTCTTTCCTATCTTGGAGACCTTAAGCAAGTTCTTAACCTCCTTGAACTTCAGTTTTCAGCTTTAAAATGGGGCAAAAATACAAGACCATGTTCAAAGGAGGTGTGATCATATATCCCCTACCAGGTGTCAGTGTGCAGTAGGCTTTCAAGGAAGGTTAGGTCACTTTCTCTGACTCTCTCTTTTTGGACCACAAAGCACTGACTGGCTGATACTGCAAATGTTCATGGCCAAGCCCACACCAGTCTAGAGAATGTGAAATAGGATGCTACCTCGAGAAGGGCCTGAGTCCCGAAATAAATATACAAACTAAGACCCAGAAATACTAATTTACCCGTGATCATACAATACAAAGCAGAATTTGGAGCAGTACTCAGGTTTCCTAACTTTTGCTCCAGGATTTCTTCACCTTTCATTACTGGTAGTCTTTAACTATACTGATTATTGTTATTATTCTTATTATTAATTTTACTATTATTTTATTGAACCCAGATTCCCTAATGCTAAGCATGCATTATGCCACTGACCTATTACACCCCAGCTCTTTAACTATCCTTTAATGTAACCAACTTCTTTGAGGATGTCAGGATTTTCTGCACATGTCTGGAATTTCCAGGGAATTCAGTAAATCATGAAAACACCTGGGCTTGTCTTGTGGCTTGTTTTACTATCTGCAATTTTTAACATATATCAGTATGCAGTTAGAACAAGAGTGAAAGAGCTGACTATGGCTTCAAATGTCAGTGTATTACAGAACAAGCAGAGATGCTTGCCGAAGTCCTGGACCTACAGGTCCTACTTCCACATAGCAGAGCCAGTGGTTGCAGGGTGTAATCAAGGAATCTACATTTGGAGACTCCCCCAGGTGATTTGAATGAGACATTATTACTTCCTCTGCAGCTCAGAGTGGTTTTTTTTTTAAAGCAGATATTAAGCTCTCCTAATATAAGCTTCTTCTCCTAACTATTCTTGCCTCAAAGTACTAAAACAATTGAATCAAGGCTGGAGACCAAGGATGTTCAACAGAGCTTTCTGCCTTCTTGGAAATGTCCTGTATATTTGTACTGTCCAATATGGCTGCAGCCACCTAGCTGCATTTATGCATTATTTGAAATTTGGCTAATGGTGATAAACTAAATTTTGAATTTTATTTAAATTTAATGTATCTAAATTTGCATTTAAATAACCACATGCAGCTGGTGGCTTTCATATTGCCCAGTATGGCTCTTGTTCTGCTCTGACTTGGCTACCAGTTTGCAAGAAAAACAGAGGATAGAGGGAAAAATTAAAATACCCACAAAAAAAATCAGAGTTTAAAAATTGAAATTTTGGTGGAGGCTGTACAGAGAAAGTTGGCCCCACTACCCTGATGTAGCCACTGCCAGAGGCAGAGCTCTTGAAAAAAGATGCTGCTTCCTCTTCCCACTCTCAAGTCTCCCACAAATGCTTCCCATTGGCTGAACTCAGCTAGATAACAGTTGACCAAGAAGACTGAAAGCACAGTGTGCAGGATACTCCCAGCATGTGGAAGAGACATAGCACTGAAAGGTTTAATAGCAGAAGAAAATGACTGGCACAAAAACATAATCTGATCTAAATCAACCAGGTGTATAAAAAGACACAATCAGAAAATTTGAGTATGCAATGGGTGTTAGATAATAAGGAATTATGAAGTTTCCGAGTTGACTATTTCTAATATACTGTATCTTTGGTATCTAGAAAGGCATACAAAGAAAAAAAAACAGTGGTGAATAAATTAATGAGATTGACCAAACTGTGTTAGGTGTCAAGCCCTAATTATGCATTT